GATTTTGCCGTCCCGACCGCGCCGCACTCCAATTCAACCCGCTGGACAACGGCCACGTCTCAGGACAGCTGTGCGCCGGACGACTATTCTCTTACGAACAGAGTTGAAGTATGTCTTAAATTCCTTCTCCGAGTTTAGACAACGTCCAGGTAATGAACCGTTTGGTCAGGATTTCGCGCAAATGAGTGTCATGAAGGTCTACATGCTGCTGCACAACGGGAACCTGCCGCCTGGGTTCCAGTCCGGATGCATGTCGAACCAGCTCAATTTCATGAGCACGCTTCCGTTGTACAACGCCACGCGTCTCTTTGGGAATACTTGCCACATAAACGATGCGTTACCTGGAGTTCGGTGTGTTTTTGTTTTCTGTGAAGGGTCTCTGATTTTTGCTGATTTATTTAAAGGCACAGCACGCCCCCGGCAGTCCTGGACGCAACGAGAACCTTCAAGACGGTCGCTCTGGGTCCTTCTGCCAGTGCCAGTGCTCCGGCTAAAATTGCGTTGGCAAACGCGTCCGACCCAAGGCATTCATTCAACCCGTCAATATACCGGGGTGGTGTCGTTGCGGTGCTAGTCTGGTCTCTCTTGAGTAATACATGGTTATAAGCATACTTGAAGATCGTTCGTATTAATCGGCAGGGAATGAAGCAGTTGGGGTCTTTCCTAACGTACCAGCATTATTTTTCGGAACGATCCATAGTCACCGGTCCCAGAATCCAAAGGGAGCTCATCCCACTTCGCAAGCCTTTCTAATCATCCTGCGATTGCACTTTGGGCGCGCGTTTCCTATGCTGTGTGAATGACGGCATCAGCATCGCATTTCTTTATGGACCCACAGACACACATAGCAGCTACGTATCTCTTCCTCCGCTCACTTTCAAGATGCATACCCTTGCTGCATTTGCGGTAATCGTTCTGTTTCTCGTCCTGCGGTTCCGACATAACCTCAAGGTTCATGGTGTTACTTTGAAAACATGACCATGTTACTGACTTCCACTAGCTCGTTGATAATGTCCCAGGAATGCGACCTCTTCTCCATCCGCTTGGCCTCGGGGCTCTCTTCCCTACAAGCTGGTGGAATCCTGGATTATTTTGGATATGGGAATGGCGTCGGACTTGTCAGTAGCTTCCCTTGTTTCGTCGCTTAGTCACAAATTCTTCATGCAGCTTTCTTTCATCAAACTCACGATGTTATATCAATGGTGCCACTCCTCGTGGGGGCCCCTTGCTATTACACATCTTCTCCCGACGTCATGAAACAATTGCTAAACAATGAGTTGAAAACTTATTCAATGAAACCGAACTGGCTGACATCCACCCTCTTGTAAGATCTCGTTCCATCCTCCAGATGGCAACTTTGATATCCGGTAGATTATGGGGTGACAATTTATTTTCCGCCAATGGTGATATGTGGAAGCGCCATCGGCGAATTTTGGCTCCGGCCTTCACCGCCAAAACGTCAGGACGCCTTCCCAAAATAATCGTTTGATCAGCTGATGCCAAAAGATCAGATACACTCTAGTTGCTTCCGAGACTGCTGCTGCATGCGAAGAGATGATCATCGCCGAAGGCTGGGACGCCATGGATTCCATGGTTATCGAGGATTTCAATCGGCTCCCCCTCAAAGTAAGATTGCCCTCTAGCACTTGATTTGTCAACTAATCGCGAGAGTGAAGTTGGGATTGATGATAATTGCACGCTGCGGTTTCGGTCTGCGTCTACCATGGAAGAGCGAGCCGAACGGGGAGCATGGCCTAGATCTAGAGTATGCTCTCAGATATGTTGCTCGTACTCGGTACGCGCGTGTGCGTCTTCCTCCTTGGATTTACAAACTACGACTCCAGCGGTGAATCCTGTGGATCTTCTTCCTTGACGTGTTTTGAAACTCTGGTCATAGAGTCGATGCATTTGACAGGGTTTGGAAAACTCTTGATTCATTCATGCACGAATTCCTTCGCGCGCGTCAAACGGAGCTCGTTGCGACACCTGGTGAGGATGGGCAGTCCGGAGACATATTCTCCCGTCTAGTCGCGGCCATGGACTCGGAGGGGAGGCTAGGGCTTGACGAACAAGAAATGGTACGTCGACTGCTCACTCCTTCTACGACCTTCTTGAGGCTCGGTTTAGATCGGAAATGCTTTCATGCTCATGTTCGGGGGCCATGGTGAGGTGTTCTCTTGAAAAACTCACTTCTGGGACCGACAATAAACCCAGAAACTACAGCAGCTGCTCTGGCCACAACAATGGGATTTCTCGCCATCCACCAACAGGAACAAGAAACGGCGTACTCAGAAATCGTAAACACCATTCCCCCTACACGCGACCCGGTGCGTACACTCCATTCAGTTAACTCGATGAATATATTCATATGAAGCGCAGGCTCCGAATGATTTCTCCAAAATGCCTCATCTCCTTGCGTGCTTCCATGAGTCCCTCCGGATTTTTCGTTGGTGTCTTTCACTTCGTCCTGGGGAACGAGCAACAATATAGTCTCACCGATCTCCTCAGCTGCGGCAATGTTGATCACTAGAGAAATGACTGAGGATGTGCCGATCAAGGTTCGCAGCCCGGCAGAAGAAATTATGGTGCTCAAGAAGGGGTCCCTCATGATTATCGAGATGATCGCCGTCCGTACGTGAGCAGGAGAGATCTGTTGCATTACTCAAACAAGGAGCCCAGACCGCAATCCGCGCTTCTTCCCAGACCCCGAAAAATATCGGCCGTCACGATGGTATGGGGTGGCAGACCCCGATCTCTCTATGTTCGGTACGATCTCAACCTCCCTACTGCCCCTCCGCTGAATGTACTGCATAGGAGTGGGACCTCGCGCATGTATCGGCAAAAGATTTGGTCAAACCATGGCGATATCCTTCCTCACATTTTTACTCCGTGATTGGAAAGTGGACGTCACCCTTCTCCCAGGGGAGTCACGCGCCGAGTACGAACAACGCGTAATGGGGAAAGCTCGACGCGTCGGGTTCGCTTTTGGTTGCGAATCTTTAAGTCTGAAGTTCACCCGGAGGAAATAGAGCCCGTAGCATTTGTAGGATTTTTGCGATCTAGCCAGGGCACCAGATCAATGCGCTCACAGCTGATCGGTGAACCGTGTTCCAAAGTACCCGTGTTTCAACCAAATATTGGTGCCGGCCCCGCTGACCGTGTGAGGAGATCCGAATTTGAGATTGTACGCACTCATTCTCTTTTTTTTTTTTGGTGGTACATTAGCCGGTAGCAATTAACAATAGGTTAACCCGACCGGTTCGTAAAATGTGGAATGTTAGTTCCAAGGGAGTGGTTTCCATCACCCAGAGAAATGCTTTGCGCACACCCAAAAGGGCAGTGTGGGACTGTCGCGTCACCCAATTCCGTGGCTGCTGCGTCGCCTGGGACGGGTCTGTGAGAATGCACGACTACCCACTAAAACTCTGGGCTCCTGGAGCCAGTTGGCCAGTAAGCGTTGCTCGTCATCCAGTGCTCCGGACCAGGTCTCGATGACCAGTGAGGGCGCCAGAGCGGGGCGTTTGCCTCTACGCGGCCTGTTGGCCAGCGTACTCATTCTCGAGTCCTCCTCACACCACAGTCTGGCAGGATGATATATCATCAGCCCACAAGCTCCCACCTGCCATGATATATAAACTCCCGAGCTGAGAGACCTGGCTTTGATACATCACCTAGGGACCCATCCCTAAGGCGGTAAAGAAATCAGAAAAAGAAGACAGTAATGGGACTCGAACCCAAAACCTTGGGGGTTACTTCTCAAACGAAGCAACACACAAACCAGTTAGACTAAGCAACCGACGAGGGAAGGCAGAATAGGTGGGCTCAGAGTTGATCTCCTGCGGGCAGGCGCAGGCGCAGGAGATCATGTGCTGTGACCATCATCACATTTGTTTGTTCTCATCCATTTCCGGGCTAATTGGTGTTCTCCTTCGTTCATGGACAACTACGCGCGTGTACTGTGTAAGATTGATGACAATTGTAGCCTGGTCTTTCCCTCATCATCTCCCCCATGTAACCTCCCAGTATCGCACCATGGGCCGAGAGACTGTCCACTCCCAGATCAACTCCTATCTCCAACATATGGCTGTTTGGGGCCTGCTGACTCCCTCTATTGACGACGACAAGGACATCAATGACAACAGGGATGCAGAGGGAGAGCTGTTGGCCAAGGAGGCTCAGTTACAACTTGATCTGGCTATTCTGGAGGCCATAAAGTCGACCCGTTACTTGCTGCGCAATCCGTAGACCTTGATTTTGTTGTCTCCAGAGGTATTCTGATCACATTACCTCCTTGGGGTCCTGCTTGCCAAAGAGAACGATGAAATTCTCTTTTTGCTGGATGAGATCGAGGAGATGCCAAATCAGAAGGCCTTTCATTTTTGCGGCCCACTGGATAGGGGGAAGGGTACTTTTTTCTTTGGGGGGAGGCATGGATAGAGTATTATGAAGAGGTTTGGTAGGATTTGTCAATAAATAAGGGTGGTATGGGTAAGAGAGAGCAAGTGATCTTTTTTTCAGACGGTAGAGGCTCTTGGGATACATAGATAAATAGCTACTAATTGTGACGATCAGCCATCGGCACATGATCTCCTGCGCCTGCGCCTGCGCGCAGGAGATCAACTCTGAGCCCACCTAATGATGGGGTCATACCATGGCGACAGAAATCATTCTTACCCTTGGCCCCGCCTCAGGGGCCAGGTTAGTGGTTCGGGTTAGGTTAGGTTGGTTAGTGGTTAGTGGTTAGAGGTTAGAGTTAAGGTTGGTTAGAGGTTAGGGTTCAGGTATATATGATTTTGTTGTTGTGGAGCATTTGATGGTTAGATGGTTAAGGTTAGTTCTAGTTGGTTAGGGTTAGAAACACCCTCAAAACACAGAATAAGCATGTAATAACACTTTCGAAGACCTAGGGCAGCTTGCCTGCCCTAGGTCTGGGTATTAGCAAGTCCCGGGTAGGGTAAGGGTACCTTACCCTAGCCGGGACACAAACGTAATCTTGTGTCAGTAGTCTGGCAAAGCGGTTAGTACGTTCCAGTATTTTGGACGTTCTGTGCTCCGGCGGTCGTGGGTTCGATCCCCCCTTTTGCTTCGATTTACCTTTATTCCCGAAAAGGAAAGCTGATATATCAGCTTTGTGTCCGCAACCATAGGCCTTGATATATCATGGCAGGTCGGAGCTTGGCGGGCCGATGATATATCAAAACCCCAGATACGCCTGCTCCTCATCTCCTCATCTTCGAAGATGGGTTCGTACGTGCCATGAGGACATTTCTATTGCTGCTGCATTATTCCGTACAGACGGTGTCGAAGGTTCTGAACGGTGGTGAGACTGGACTGGATCACGGACATGGACATCGGGCTTTTACATATGTAATTTTCGGGGAGTTTGTTCGAGATTTTTCATGTGCGTAGTTTGAGTCTATTTTTTGCGTTTTCACTGGATTTCGCGTCTCAGGACAGAACAGAGTTGAAGTATGTCTTAAATTCCCGAGTTTAAACAACCATTTTAACGGGAGCCTGCCAGCTGGATTCCAGCCCGGATGCATGTCGAACCAGCTCAATTTTAAGCACGCTTCCGTTGTACAACGCCACGCGTCTCTTTGGGATGGGAATATTTGCCCCATAAACGATGGGCTATCTGCAGTTCGGTGTGTTTTTGTCTTCTGTGTGCTGGCTCCTTCTGGAGTGGCCGCTTTCAACATCAGAGGGAGAACAGCCCACTCAGCGCTTGGACTGCCTGTGAACTCAGCCTTTGTACAGCTGACTGGATCAAAATTAGCTACCCTTCAGGAACAGTGGCGTGGCGTCCATTTCATTATCATCGATGAAAAATCAATGCTCGGACTGAGAATATTGGCCCAGATCGATTCTAGGTTACGCCAAATACGTCCCAGCCATGCCAACAAAGTTCTAGCAGGCTTCAATATTGCGCTAGTGGGTGATTTTGCCCAGCTACCTCCCGTTGGTGATCGACTGTCGTATGCTCCGCCCTCTATCGATGCGTCAGAAAATGGCGCACTTAGTCGGGATGGAAGCCGGCTGTATGGACAATTTACCCAAAGTTTTGCCCTTCGCGTCGTTCACAGACAGGAAGGGGACTCTCGCGAACAGCAGGACTTCCGCTCTCTCCTGCAGCATGCTTCTAAAGGCTCCCTTAGCATTGATGAATGGAAACTGCTCCAAACTAGGTCGTCCTCCACTATCTCCCCTCTCGAAAAATCCTTGTTCGACGATGCTGTCTGTCTATACACCACCCGGGACAATGTTCATGCATTAAACATGCAAGAAATTCAGGCGTTGAACGAACCTTGCGCGCGGCTAAACGCCAAGCATGACGGTGGGATTCAAGCAAGCAAGGCATCCGCAGATGATGCTGGAGGGTTGGAGAGTAGCCTCATCATTTCGTGGCGCGCGAAGGTGATGATCACACGGAACCTTTGGCAGGAACACGGTTCGTTAATTAAATTTGCGACCACGTATAAAAAGCAGCGCTGACATGGGACTTTTAAGGTTTGGTCAACGCAACGATTGGTGTGGTGGAGGATATTCTTTGGCCCGAGGGGGCAACTTCTACCTCCGAGATGCCCCTTGCGGTACTTGTGTCGTGCAAAATGTACACAGGACCTACCCTCTGGAGAACAGAACCCCGGCCTGGGTTTCCCGAGGGCATACCAGTCGTCCCCATTCCACCAGTCAAATCAAATTTCGATATCGGCGACAAACATCTGGCCCGCACACAGGCGCCTCTCAGATTGGCATGGGCTGTCACGGTACATAAATCTCAAGGTCTGACGCTGCCAAAGATCAAACTTGGTCTTGGGAAAAAAGAGTTTGCAGTAGGCCTTACATTTGTCGGGCTTTCCAGAGTCAAGGCACTCACGGATATCATGTTTGTGGGTCAATTCGATTATTCGCGGGTCCAAAATCTTGGTGGAAAGAATCTTCAGTACCGCTTGGATGATTTTGTACGCAGATACCCTCGTACATAATTTCTGTATTAGCTGTATAATACCGACTCTGTCTTCGAAGCGAGCACCCGGCGCGGCCGCGGATCTATTTTCCAATTGATCGTGTTGCATCGTGTTTGTGTCATTCGCGTCGCGGTCAGCTATCACGTTCTCTCTGCGGAGGTTTCACCATCCGTTGCTCCAACTTTGCTCCAACTCCAAGAAAGAAAAGGATCGTACCCCGGCATCCCGCCCTACTCTCATCTTAAATTTTAACTACTGCCGTCGTGTCGCGTACCTTCACGGCTATGAGATCCATCCGACAAGCACTCATCTGACTTCTACGCGACGTATGGGGTCCTCGAGGCTTCATCTCTTCAGGGTTGAGCGCCCGGAGCTTCATTATTGACCCGGTCTCTGACACCGCATGTGAGAAACCGGCGGATTCAAATACCTGGCAGAGCTTCGATACGAATTCCCACTGCTTTCCATGTCTCCTCCCACCACTCTCCTCGCTCAAGTTCGGACGCTCGTGACTGTCGATGTTGACTCGATGGATCCTGATGTCGCAGCTCAGTACAGCACGCCTCAGAAGTTCTGCGACATGACCTCCAACCAAGCCATTGTCCATGGGCAGGCGGCGCTACCCGAGCGCAGCGCGTTGCTTCAGGCAGCGGTGGAATATGTGACCAAGGAGACGAACGGGAAAGGAGAGAACTTTCAGCAGGATGTTGTGGATGTCTTGGTGAGCTCGGAGCCGAGTATCAGGGTTTCGAATTCGCTCATGGGAGTGCCAAATCCGCAGACAGTTCTCCTTGCCAAAGAGGTGTATCCAAATCTTACAGGGAACGTGCACGCTCAGACCTCTCCCTCTGCGGCGTACGACACGCAGAAAACCATCGATCACGCGCGGAAGCTTGTAACCCTGTTCGGAAAACATGGCATACCCCAGTACGATACTTTTTTATAACAATCGCTATATAACCAACGAATCCACGCAGGAATCGCGTCTGCATTAAGATTCCTGCAACACCCGAATCCCTCCTATCGTGCCGCGAGCTCCAGGCGTCGGGTATCCAGACGCTCGCGACGTGTTTATTCTCGCTTCCGCAGGCCGTGGCCGCGAGCCAGGCGGGCTGCACATACGTTGCGCCGTATTTCAACGGTGAAACATGTGCAATTCTTTATTCCAATTTACTCACCAGGAATCCAGAGCTGCGCGTGCACTTCCAAGTCGGGTTGTGGAAAGAGTATGCCGACACGAAAACGGAACATCCCATGAGCCCGGTTATCCTGAGCATTGTGCATGCGTTCCGAGAGCTGGGTTCCAAGACGCTAGTTATGCCCGCGAGGTACTGATCTTTGCCGCCTCCGGATTCTCTTTCTAATTCCATACTGTAGTATTGTTACTCCTCAGGAGGCAAGCCATTGCGATTGAATCAAGGCTTCATTGACGTTCTATCTTAGGTCGTTGCTCTCGTATCTTTGTCCCCGAACCACCTCACTCTCTCCGGCGGCGTTTTGGATGCCCTCGCGGCCTTACCTGCGCTCGAGCCCGAGGCTTTCACCTCACCGATGCCACCGACTTCCTCGGCGATCCAAGGTGGGAGTTGTTGCTCTTGGTCGGTATTATTTGCTTATGCGTTAGGCGATTATCTCGCGGATAATGGTGCCCTCTTGGGTGAGGCATTGGCAGGAGACGCAGAGGTGCAGCGGAAACTCGCCGATGCGCTGGCCATATTCGGGGAGAAGGAGGTGGAAACACGAGAGTTGGTGAAAGCGTTCGTTGATCGTAAGTAGGAAGCCTTCCGGGAGAGGCGGAAAGTACTTGTTGTTTGCCCACTTATGTTTAAACTGTAAATGCAATGCAGAATCCACAGAAACAGCGCATCCTGGTTCAGAGTTGTGCGGGGCGCAACACGGAGCTCACCAAGGTTGCGGAGGTTGCCTGCGAGATGGGGTCGAGGGACACTGTCCCGAAGACCCTGTTCAAATCCAGGACGGCCGGTGCTTTACTATGGCTATGTATCGCTCAATGAGTATAAGAACCCAGCGCCATCATGCGGCGAGAACTTACCGCACCCCCTTGGCGCAGCAGAACCACCGTCGTAAACTGGTGCTATAGAATCCTACCAAGAAGGCACCGTCCGGTATCTGACAGGTGCTCCCAGACAGACTTGTTACATTGTATAGCGGAAGTGTGCCCAGAAAATCCAGCTGGATGTGCATGCAGCCGGCACGGAATCCCGGCGGTAGGTAACCATTGTCACTGTGGAGCAGCATATAGACCTTTATGCTGCACATTTTCCGGATTCAATGGATTCATGATGAAAGAAAGTTAAAGGGGTCTGAAGTCGGGCGATCCAGTCCAGAAATTTGTACATTCAAGCCAAGAATGGGCAGGAAACCCTGATGTACGAATAACATAGAAACCTAGGTCAGTCTCATGCAGTAGTCGGGATTCCCCACCGGATTCTATCGGGTCAAATACTAAAGCAACTGGAACGAAATATTACGAGGTGAGGACTCACTAACGCCCAATTCGGCATTTTTGTCACCTTCCCGCTGCCCCCGCCGACCGCGAATGTGAACACAAAGACCATAACCTGTTCCGCCCGGGCGTCAGTTAATCGGGAGTATCATCAAGTAAGGGCAGTATGCTCGCCTGGGTGCCTCCGTCGAGGGCAGCAGAGAGGAGGAAATTATACTTGCGGAACCTGCGCGGGCGGTAGCGGCGGAGGTAGTACTGAGAGAAGAGAGCGAGCAAGAAGGTCGTGAATGTGGACGATGTACCACCACCTCAAATACGTACACTAGGTAAATACGCGTCAAGTATAGAAAGGACATATGCACCATATTGGAACTTCGGGGTATTACCTAAAAAAACTGTGAGAGCAAGCTAATCAGAGGAGCCTGCATGGTGAGGATACCTTCATTTCTGCGAGATGAGCATCATATGCAACGCCCACCTGGTAATTCATCAAACAACAGGGAAGGATCCACGAGACAAGAATGCATTAATACTCTATATTGTCGGATTACTTCCAGGATGTCTTTGCCATACCAAAGAACAACATGTGTAATGGTCGCCCCGATGGAGAGGTTCGTGCCGATATTCGAGAGAACCTGTGAGCTCACGAAC